AGGGGCCTGCTTTGCTGCTCTCAAAGATTGAGGCTCAGAGGTTGAGGGCTTCGTGCTCAGAGGCTCATGTTTCTCGGATTCAGTCGCTCATTTTTATCTTTAAGAGAACTCAGGTTGTCATCAGAGTTCTGCCTCAGAGGCCCACTAAACTTGAACAGTCCAATTCTACCTACCAGCTGCTGAGCTGGTCTCTCATCTCTGACAGGAGTATTGCTAGGGTTGAGGAGTGCACACAAAGTTCTTTGCACAATTGTCTCTTTTTTTGATCTGTGCCTGTTTTTGAGACCAGAGTCTCCATAGTGTGCCAGATCACTGCTATTACAGATTTTGTCTTTGGAAACACTTGAAATTTAAAAATACAGATAAAGCTTTTCTTTTAGGTCAACATTTATGGTTGGTTTCTTAGGGGCGTGAACAACCTGAAATTATGCACAAGATTTATCTTTTTGCATACTTCTTGGCAGAGACTTACAGATTTTGTGATTCTCGGAGCATCTTTGCACCCCAAAAAGTCTAAGGGTTCAAAAAAGGCTGATCTCAAGGGGCAGCAGCTCCTTGAGGAGCCTGGCTCTAGTCAGCCTGTGGGCTACTGAGGAAAAGCAGGAGGTGGTATAGCTGTTGGCTTCTCACAAGAGCTGTAGAAGACATAGGATGAAGAATAGTTTGTTTTTTTGTTTTGGTTTTTAAAGATTTATTTATTTACTTTATGTATGTGAGTACATTATCACTGTCTTCAGACACACCAGAAGAGGGCATCAGATCCCATTAAAGATGGTTGTGAGCCACCATGTGGTTGCTGGGAATTGAACTCAGGACCTCTGGAGGAAGATAAGAATTGACCAAGCAAGTCATTGTATCCTGGCCAAGGATTCGCATTCACAAAGTCCTGGTGAGGAAGGACTGGGCCTGTTGTGTGTGTATGTGGTGTTAGATGCAGAAAGAGTGACTGGCCAGCAAGACAGATGGGCATAGATTGCCAACAGCACAGCTTAGAGGTTTGATCTTATTTGTTTGTCGTGTTCTTTTTTTGTTTTGGATTTGTTTGGTTTTGCTTTTGAGACAGGGTCTAGTGTAATTCTGGGTGCCTAGAACTCACTGTATAGACCAGGCTACTCTCAAACTCTGGGAACCTCAGCCTCCTGAGAGAGAGCAGGGATTAAAGGTGTGTACTGCCTCTCTCTCTCTCTCTCTCTCTCTCTCTCTCTCTCTCGCTCTCGCTCTCGCTCTCGCTCTCGCTCTCGCTCTCGCTCTCGCTCTTTAATGTGTTTTATTTGTGTGGGTGTTTTGTGTGAGCTGGCTATCCTTCCAGTCCAGAAGAGAGAGCATCAGAGTTGGAGAGGTTATGTGGGTTCTGGGAAGTAAACCTGGGTTCTCTGGAAGAACAACCAAGCTTTTAACCACTCTGCCATCTCCAACCCTATCTTACATTTTTCTTTTTTTTAGCTAGGCTCTCACTCTATCCCTGGCTGGTCTTGAACTCACTGCGTTGCTCCCCAGGCTGGCCTTGATCTTCCAGCAGTCTTTCCACCTCAGTATTCCAAAAGCTGGGATTATGGGTATATGTTACACCTAACAGTTTATGTTGTATATTTCTGGGTTTTTTTTGTGTGTGTCCGCTGTGTGGCCAGAGAAGGGATCAGATTGGAGCTAGAGTTAGAAGAAGTTGTTGAATGTCCAGCGTAGATGCTGTGAGGCAGATTCGGATCCTCAGCTGAGTGATCTCTCTAGTCCCTTGGTTGGTTGATTCTGTTTGTTTATTTGTTTGTTTGTAAGTTATAGGGTCTTACTATATAGCCCTGGCTGGCTTGGATATCACTATGTAGACCAGGCTGGCCTTGAGCTCAACAGAGATCCTCCTGCCTCTGCCTCCAAGTGCTGGATTAAAGGCCTTGGGATTATCGCAAATATATCTTATTTTTTGAAACAAGCATTTTATTGTACAGTCTAGTGGCCCACAACTACAGCAGTCCTACTGTAGCCTACCAAGTGGTAGAGTTACAGGCATGTTCCATGTTCCTGGCTACTTATTTTAAGAGGAGTCTTGCTATGTAGCCCTGGCCTGCCTGAGTGCTGGGATTGGAGGAAGGCAATACCAAGCCTAGTTTACGGTTCAGTTATACAAGACCATGTCGGCCCTGATATCTAAATGAGCTTTAGGCAAGCCCTTCTGCATTGTTCAACCTATGCTCCATTTTCTTACATCTATAGCACAGTGACATGGAAACCTTATCACATGTCATATATTTTGATCCATGGCAATAAATACACAATCAGGCAGACCTGGAGGAAGGGTGGTGTTGGCTCCTGAAGCTGCTTTAGGTCTCCTTAAAGCAAAGGTCTTTATGCAATCTTTGGTTTTCTTGTTGTTGTTTTGTTTTGTTGGTTTGGTTTGTTTTTGAGACAGAGTTTCTAAGCCAGACTGGCCTCTAACTCCTTGTGTAGCCAAGAGACACCTTGAATTTTTGATCCTCCTGCCTCTACCTCCCAAGTGTTGTCATTACAGGCATATGCCACTTAACACCTGGTCTTTGGATTGCTAAGGGTTACATCCAAGGTTTTGTGCATATTAGGCAAGCACTCTCTACCCAGGCCCTGGTTTATTTTCTATTTTGAGACAAGGTACCACTAAGTTACCCAAATTGGCCTTGAACTCAGTCTGTAGCTGGGTAGCCCTTAGACCAGGCTTCTTCTTAAGTTCGCTTTTCAAATACCTAGCATTATAGGCTTATAGCACCAGGCCAGATTTTACCCAGTTTTGAAGATTCCTTTTCACCTCTCTGAGAGCTCCTAAGTTGTCTTGTTCCTAGTCCTTATGCTGCCCATGTGGACCAGCGTTTCATTTTGTCCCTCTGCTACTGCTTTAGCCAGAGATGTTTTCTATTAGAGAGTTAGCTTACCATTAACAATACTACTGCTGAGTGCGGTGGTGTACACCTCTGCAGGCAGAGTCAGGTGGATCTACGTAGCAAGCTCAAGGGCAGCCAGGGCTGCATACTGGGACCCTGCTTCAAAAGAAGCAAACACAAAACAAAACCCTACCTAACTGGACATGGTAGCATGCCTTTAATAAAACTCAGGAGGCAGAGTCAGATGGAAAACAGACCAGTCTGTCTACATAGCAAGTTCTAGGTCAGCCAGGGCTACACAGTGAGACTCTATCTCAGATAGATTCCTAGGGTAGATAAAAATAGATAGGACAGTACTGCTGAAAGAGAGAAACGCCCCCCTACTTCCTATGCTGCCCCACTGTCTTAGCACAAGCCAGCACATTTCTCTGCTCTCATTTGCTTTCCCTCTCTGCCATCCCTTGTCTGGTTTGGTTCTGTCACATACTTGGTGGCGCTGTTTCTTCTCCCTGGTATGTTCTTTCTAGGACCTCCCTTGATATGGGGCTGAGAGCAGAAGGAAGCTTGACCCTCATTATTCCTGCAGCTTTCCCCAAGAGCTCTTGGGAACTGGGCTAAGTATCTTGGCTTCTGGATTGGGTTGGGACATGCTGAGTGGATACTATGGTAGAAGACGCAGAGATGTGAGGGTAGGAAAATGTGGACAGTTCTTGGGAATTTGGAAATGTGACCAAAATTGGGTGTGAAACTGGTTGTAGATCCTATGCTTCTTCCATTTGTTGATTTGTTTCTTGGCACAAATGTGAACTGGGACACACCTTGTGTTCCTGTGTACAGGCGTGGCTGGGTCCAAGCTTTCTCCTCTGCTTGTTTTAGACTTTCCTGGACATTTCTTAGTCATCTGAGCATAGTTGCTATTTTTAGTACAGCTACCTCCCAGGGAACTTAAAATAAAACTGGCTTCATTTCCTTGCCTTTCATTGGCTAGCGTATCATCATAGGCTGGGATTGGATTTATCTCTGTCCCTTCCTGCTGGCTCTTCTGGCCTTCAGCGAGGTCATAGAGACTTAGTACTTACCATGTTAAGCTGTGTAACCACCAGCAAGCTGGAGTTACTGTCTTCAGTTTTGCAGAGGAGGATGTGGGAGCCCTAGAAGCAGTGATGTGCACTAGCTCCTACCACAACTAATGCTTTTCTGCTGGGGTGGAAATGTCCTCTTACTGTTGTGTCTCAGACCTGTTATCAGGACAGAGGGATGTGCTCCTCTGCAGTCAGATCCATACAGAACAGCATGTGGGTCTCTAGGGCCCATAGGAAATACAGCTGGTCCTCCCTTGGAGGGCTTTAACAAAGCCAAAGTAGCTTTTCTTCAGTGTCTTTGGGATGGTGGCCTTGAGCTTTTATGGAGACAGCCCCTCAGGAGCAGGGTAGTGGTGAGGCAGGATGCTGCACAGAACTACTGCCAGCTCATGCTTCATCTATGTTTCCCTTTCTCATTCTGTCACAGCTCTGAAGTGAGTAGAAAATACCATTATCACTGAAGAACTGACACCAGAAAAGACCAGGTCAAGAATCACCTGGCCTTAGATACTAGGTCGCTCCTTGGGACCTGCTGTGGTCAGGAATGGAGTCTTTAGAAGCCATGTATCCTTCCAGCCCCCCACCACCGTCACATCCCTGAGACACTATTAGAAGCTTGAAGGCTAAAAGAGAAACATTCTACACAGAAATGTTGATAGTTTCTGGTCTGATTAATGGGTAGAATGATTAATGGGCATTAACTCTGGCCTTGGAGGTTATTGAAAGGATTAAAGGAAAACTTGGAACTGAGGCTGGTGCTTAGTTCCTTCTTCTCCCCTTATTAGACATAGGGCCTATTCTGGTTTTCCTTTACCCCAGGTATATTCTCAACACCCATCTTGTATACCTGGCACCCCTCTGTCATCAACTTAGAAGTCCTTAGAAGATGGTTAAAAGTGGTTTCTACCACTCGTCAGGGTTGGGTAGGTCTGTAAGATCCCCAGGGTTGTCACATACCTTGAAAAAAATGGGTATCAACAGAGTCTTCCTGCATGAGGAGGCTAGGAAAAGACAGGCTACCTCTTGCTTCTGTGGTACTAACATTTCTGTCTTTGTCTTGCTGGTTTTCCAGGTCTCAGTGAGGTGGGTGACTCTCCAGGATGGGAGACAAGCCAATTTGGGAGCAGATTGGATCCAGCTTTATTCAGCATTACTATCAGTTATTTGATAACGACAGAACCCAACTAGGCGCAATTTACGTAAGTCTCCAATGTGAGAGCCAGAATAAAACCCTAGGAGATCAATTTGGATATCGAGTAGGAATTGTGGTGTTCTGCACAAGAAGTTTGGGCTTTGCCATTCAATGTGGTTGGCACCTTGTCAGGTCACATAGTCCTAGGAGTATCTCTCTGTAGCAGATATAGACTAGGATTCATTATCCTCTGGAGGCAGCAGCCATGAGCATTTTCAGTGCAATGCTGGCTTCTGGAGAATCCCATGTGTAGCTTCTTTTGAGGGCAGAGCATCTGAGTGCCTGTGGGGATAAAATAAAGTTAACCCAAGAAGTCTTCTAGGTAGGCATTGCTTCATGTTTTAATGATACTCATTTATTCATTCTTAATTCTGCCTGAGATTCAGCAACACAAGGGCATTCAGTCAGGCTAAACTACTAATGGATGTACCCAGGCTAGGAAGGAGTAGCCATAGATCCTGGTTTAGCCATCAGAAGTTGTCAGTATCTCTTCCATAATGTCAGGGTTCATTCAGAAATCTTGGAAATAAAGAAAGGTATCTTAAGAGTGGGAACAAATTCATCCTAGAAGATAAATTGTCTTTATGGGTTAGAGGGATTGTACCCAGGCCCTCATGCACATAGGACAGGTGCTCTATCACTGCCTGTACCCCCCAGTCAGTTCCTCTCAATGTCTCTTTTGGTCACAGGAATTTCACAGTTTTGTTCAGACTGGCCTAAGACCTGGATTCCTCTACCTAAGCCTCCCAAGAGGCTGGGAATACAGGTCATTGTAAAATAATTAAAGCAGGTTTGACACTTCCCCTTCTAAAAGACACTTTATCAAGATCCTAAAGAGTACTTTGTGTATATTGTTTCATAATTATTCAAATGTTTCCTATTTGATGATTGAGGAAACTAAAACTCAGAAAAATAAGCAACTTACAACTTGTCTAATGTTACAGTTGGAAGTAGCAGAAGTTCCCACCTCTTCCCACCACTACCTCCCCTTGCATGGGCCCTCAATATGTAGTTTAGGCTAGGTTTAGACACTTCATCCTGCTGTTGTTTCTTATTGGCTGAGTGTGGTGGCACACGCCTTTAATCCCAGCACTTGGGAGACAGAGGCAGGCGGATTTCTGAGTTCGAGGCCAGCCTGGTCTACAGAGTGAGTTCCGGGACAACCAGGGCTATGCAGAGAAACTCTGTCTCGAAAAACCTTAAAAAAAAAAAAAAAAAAAAGGCGAAATAGGGACTGGAGAAATGGCTCAGTGGTTAAGAGCTCTGACTACTCTTCCAGAGGTCCTGAGTTCAATTCCCAGCAACCACATGCTGGCTCACCACCATCTGTAATGGGATCCGATGCCCTCTTCTGGTGTGTCTAAAGACAGCTACAGTGTACTCATATACATAAAATAAATAAATCTTTAAAAAAATAAATAAATAAAAATAAAACAGAAGTAAAGAATTTTGAGGGGATTGAGGTGAGTTCCATACAGGGTTTCTCTATATGGGCTATCCTGGAACTTGCCAGGGTAGCCTCTAACTCAGAGATTGCCTCCCTCTGCTTTTAATCCTGAAGTGCTGGGATTAAAGGCATGCACTACTACCACTGGCAGAAAAAGAATTTCTAATTTAGAAATTATTGCTAATATAAATTTGGGACTCAGTCTTAATTTAATCTTGTTTCCAGATAAGTAAACAGATAAGTAAACTCATCTCCCCAAGTGAGATCCTTTTGAGGATTTTTTTTCTAAGGCTTTCGAATGCTGAGGCCCTGACCGTATTTCTTTCCTGTACACATTTAGATTGATGCATCATGCCTTACGTGGGAAGGACAGCAGTTCCAGGGAAAAGCTGCCATTGTGGAGAAGCTGTCTGTAAGTAAAGTCCAGACTGAGATACAGCTCGCTCTTTCATGCCTCTTCTGACGTCAGCTTACCTACCATTCTTTCTCTTGCAGAGCCTTCCGTTCCAGAAAATTCAGCATAGTATCACGGCGCAGGACCATCAGCCTACACCAGATAGCTGCATCATAAGCATGGTTGTAGGCCAGCTCAAGGTAGCAGTGCTACTGTGTTTCAGGGCAGGAGTAGGCAGGCAAAGCAGAGCCCTGGACTCCTGTGCCTTCCCTGTGGATGTAACCTGCTTATTGGGGGGGTCATCCAGAGTGACTGTCAACAAAACAAAACCCATCCAAATGGTTGCCTAGACCCGCATTGTTTAATGTGACAGCCATAAACCACTCCAGCTGACCTTTCTTACCTTCCTCTCCCTTCTTTCCTTGTTGCTGGATATTGAGTACATGCTAAACAGATGCTTTCTTACACTGAGCCACTCCCTTGACCCCACAATTATTTCTTCATATTTATTTTTGAGGTCAGATCTCACTGTGTATCCCTCGCTGGCCTAGAGCTTGCTCTGTAGACCAGACTGGCTCCACACAATTTTAAGCTAATTAAATTAAAATGTACTTCCTTGGTTGTATAGTTACATTTCAAGTGCTTATGGTCCATGGCTGTAGTTGCCAAAAGTTCTAGTGAAGAGCATTGGTTTAGAGCTATTATGGAAAGGGGGCAAGATGAGTAGGAACAGGGTCAAGCTGTACTGCCAAACTCTTGGGCTCCTGTGTTGTCCTGAGGTATAGATATACCTGCTGACAGGGCACTTAGAGATAATCTTCGGATAGCCCTCAATTCTGCCACCCAAGCTTGTGCTCCCACATTCTCTCTTTGAGACAAGCCCTCCTATGTAGACCAAGCCCTCTAATTCAGAAATCCTCCTGCCTCTGCTTAATAAGTGCTGAGATGAAAAGAGTCCCACCGTTACCAGCCCGAGTTGGCTCTTCATGTGCCAAACAAAGCAAATGAAGTCCCACCTTATTTCCCTTTCCCCATAGGAAAAGACAGTGAAAAAAATACGTTGTGTGTGTGTGTGATGCGTGTATTATGCCATTCTACACATATAGTGGTTAGAGGAGAACTTGTCTCCTTTCATTTTTACATGAGTCCCAGGGATCCAACTCAGGTCACCAGGGTCGTAGGCCAAGAGCCTTTATCCATTTAAGGTGTGTGTCACTGCCTATCTCCTTTACCCCTCTTAAGACCTGTCATGCTGATAATCAGACACTTTTCAAAAGCCTCTTCCCAAAGCAGAACAGATTGCCTGACCCCTTGGCCAGATCTCCGCTCTCTGGGACAGTGTCTTGGTAGAGTTGGTTCAGCACATGCCCGTGTGCACTCCCCTCTAGATCACCTGACTAGTGCTTCCTGAATCCAGTGTGGGTGTGGAAAGAGTGTTCTGTGGCTCTGAATTAGACCCAGACTTAATTTTCTATCAGTTCCTCTTGCTGTTTCAGAGCACTCTGCCCAGAACCTGCAACCAAGTAGGCCATTAGGGTTGAGGAGGCATTTCCAGGGAGCTCATCCTCTGCTTTCTTAAGCTGAAGTAATTAAGTAGTACGTCTTCACACCCATTCCTCCAGATGTTAGTGTCCTGGCCGGAGCTTCAGATGACTGGTCCTTGTTAACACTATTAGAAAAAGAAGTGAGGCTGGAGTGCGTACATGGGCCTCGTCCTGTTTCTGAATTGTGGTCAGAGGCTTGGGGCTGCCTTTCTCTGTTGCAGTGTTATGCTGGTCACTCCCCATCCTACTCCAACCCCTTATAAAATTGTGATCCTATTGTGAACTTTGTGTGTGTTTTATTTATTTGGTTTTTGTCGGGGGCTTATTTGCTTGCTTGATTGGTTTATTTGTTTTAAATAGCTTTGTCATACACACACTGACAGGCATGTGCCACCGTGCCCAGTGTAAACTCAGCTTTAAGATGTAAAACATTTACTCCATTTTATCAGTAATTTCTCCTGATTGGACTAACTGGTTTTATTGAACACTAAGATGGTTCACTATAAATTAGTAGTAAGTGCTACAAGATTCCTTAAAATTTTTGATCACTTTTATCCAGCGAGTTGAGTTAGAAGACAGCAAGTCCTCTGCCTTATTGCCTAGCTAAGTGGTGAAATGTGCTGCCTTTGAATATACATGTGAGTAGCCATTTATTGACACTTAAATGACCAGCAGTTTCACACATAGCAGTTCACATTCACAAGTTCCTATTCTGTACTGGAATTCAGGTTTAAGATAATTAGTACCGGATCCCAAATTGTACTGTCATTAAACATTCTTTCCATTCCTTAGCTCCCTTACTGAATCTTTTCTTTCTCCGTTCATACAGGCTGACGAAGATCCCATCATGGGTTTCCACCAGATGTTTCTATTAAAGAACATCAACGATGCTTGGGTTTGCACCAATGACATGTTCAGGCTTGCCCTGCACAACTTCGGCTGACCTCCTCCTGGCCAGATAGTCACGCTGTTTCCTCCTCCCTCTTCCCAATCCTATCTCACTCCTCCAGATGCTCCAAATATCATACACAAACGAGCAGGGCCGAGGTGGGAGTGGGTGCAGTGCGCTTCTGTCACCACGGTGTTGTGCATGATGTTTGGATGCTAGACTAGTTGCATCTGACAGGAAAAGTTTGTGTTGTACCAGCGCATGCCTTGGAAAGACTTAAGTAATGCAAAAGATTGTCGGTTTTTGGTTTTGTTTTATTTTATTTTATTTTTTTTTAATCTACTGACAAGTTGCTCTAGTAACCCAAAGAAGTGAAGGAGAAAGCAGCTGCCTCACCAACCGCCCAGATACTGATTTGTTCAGATGTTTCAATGCCTCATGATACAATAAAACCACAAAAATTTTCTTAACAGTTCAAATTGTTTTAATTAGTTAAGTAGTTGGCTGGGCATCAACAGTTCTGGCCCAGTGTCTCTCATGCGACCCTCCCCTCTGCCTCACCATAACAGTACCTGGTGCAAGGAGCAAATTCACTCAAGTGGCAGTCCCAACTAAGCCCTCAAGCCTGCTAGGGCAGAGTTCTCTTCCACCCCAGGTCTTTGGAAAGCAGGTTTGGACTGAAGGCTCTTCAGCCAACTCTGTCTGACACCTGTAGCCTCTGCTCTGTAGATTTGGGTCTAGTAGCAGGGTAGATACTCTGTAGTAGCTAGAAAGACCTTGGTAAATAGGACTTCCCATGTTTGTACCCTCTGGGTTGAAGTCCCAGATGGAGAGGCCTGGTGTATGCCCAAAATGAATGACATTCAGATGCCCACATTCCCCAGGCAAAGCAAGAGATGCTGTATTGCCTGCTTGGGATGTCAGAGCCAGGCCCCTGGGTGGAGTATCAGTTCCACACTCTGGAAGGAATCAGTGTGAAGGAGTCTAGCTCTATCTAGCTCTCCCCTCAAACTTGTGCAGGGCATTTATACACCATCTCCTTACTTTCCACATACCCCATACTCTTCAAATCCCAGGAAGTCTTAACTATTATGGCAGTTTCTGCCCTGTTTCTTAGTTTGGGCACAGGTCTTGCTCAGTACAATATATAATTTAGCTTTTCATCCATAAGACTTCTGGATAGTATAAAGCTACCAAAATAGCTACTGCAAGCTAGAAGCAAGCCCAGGATTTTGGGCTTAGGAATGGCTAGGCACACCTGAAAGTTCCCACCCACCCACCCTCTGCTCCCTGCCATCCTGAACTGTGAGGGGAGAGTAAAGGTTTCCACATACTCCACAGGTTGCCTGGTTACACCAGCACAGTCATGAACTCTACATAGGAGGTTCCCGTGGGATTGATCTCAAGCTGCTGTGTATTGGGGGAAGTAGGGGTGGGAGAGGTAGATGCCAGCTGCCTCTTAACCCACCCTGTATAAAATCTGCAATACAGCTTCTTCCATGTACCTGTGCCTGAAATGTCTGCAATAAAGAGGTGTTTGTAAACTATGGTTTCTTTATTCCTAAGTTAAAGTTGCTGTGTGGGACAAGGGGTTACTGGGGACAGTTGGTAACAACGACTGTTTTTGTGGTAGAAACTATCTTCCCTTGCCCTTGTATTTCCTGGGGCTTATGACCTCGCAGATGTCTTGGTCTTACTCCTAACGGGGAACAGACCCTTACCAGTTCACCGTTATTTAAGGTCTGAAAAGTCACTACCTGAGTGGTAAAGTTGGCTTTCTTGTACCATTATCCAGAGTTAATCAGACTGGGCTAGGACCTAGATTGGATCTCCGGAGATAGTAGGGTTTTAGGCAACCCAATGCTCTATGACTACATTTGCTCTTTCTCAGTCTTCTGAAATTTCCCCTCTACTGGGCTAGCCAGTAGTAAGCCTACTTAGGCTCCCTCTGATAGGAACTAGGTCTCCCAGAGCTCGGAACCTTTCTTCTGCGGTCGTTGTAGGTTCCGGGAGCGAAGGTCAGTGGGACCGGAAGTGGAGGCGGTTGGTGGGGTTGGCAGAGCTTACGGACGCAGTCCGGGTGGCGGTTTGCGAACTGTGGGTGGGTTTTGTTAGTGCTCTGTCTCCTGCTCTCTAGCGGGGTCGCGGCTGGGCGAAATTGGACACTGTGCGGAGGTAGAGGAACTAACGTCGGGCGAACAGGACTCTCGTGGCTGGGCCCATGGCCTCCTGCGCGAGCATCGACATTGAGGACGCCACGCAGCATCTGCGGGACATCCTCAAACTGGACCGGCCCGCCGGAGGTGAGCCGGGATAGGGTGGGTAGGCTCTTAGCGAAATGGAGAACGTATGGCCTGAATCTGAACAGTTTTCGGGTGCCGCAGGTTCCTTTAGCCAGACTCAGAATCCTCCTGTTTGATTGCGGAGGACAGAAATTGGACATGGATGATCCCTGGGTATATCCAGAGAATGGCGCAGACCCCTGGGTGTTACCCCTCCCCATCCTATGCCAGACCATTCTGCCTTGTTCTTAAGTATTTTGGCTGAAGGTAAGGCCCCTCCTCGGATTCCACCTAGTCCATCTGTTTTCTTTGCCTACAAACTCCAGTGTTTTTGAGTACTGGCCCCGTGTACCTCCTCGCCGTGGTTCGAGGCCTGGTGCAGTGTCGGTTTAGCGAAATCTAGGCCTAGAATTAAGTGATATGTTGAAGAGCCTCTGTGCCCACCCTGCAACTTGGCTGTTCCCCAAAATTGTATACTCCAGACCTGATGTTGCTCTGAAACCGATTTTATGGCAAAAGGTGGACAAACCCCAAATTCATGTTTCTACTGAACTGAAGTCAGATCACAGACTGGCTCTGATTAGATTAGATTCCAAACGTCTGCAAGCCCATATGTTCCCAATTCATCCGAGTTTTACTTAGGGCTACTCCTGCCAGATAAAGAGTTCCCAAGACACAAAGCCAACAGTATTGTAATATAATGTTATTGTAAAAGAGGATTGTTGGGGTACTGTGATGAGAATGGGGAAATATGGTGAGAGAGATAGAGGGCTTGTTTGAGAGAAGACTGTTAAGGCTAGTTTGGATACTATAGACAGGAGACTGAATGTCTTCTACTATGTAGAAGACACATACCACAAAAAGGAAATAGTATGTATGAAAATAGGTGCTTCAGTGTGATTCAGATATGTTTGAACGTTGTAGTGGTTGATCGGTGATAATGATGTACGTATTGAGAAATGATTCTTTTCTCACACCTTTTATTCCTGCTGGTGGGACCCAGACTGCTAAAGCAGGCACTGGTACTCTCCAGTGGAATTAGCTGACACATACACAGATAATCCACTTGCTGTCTGAGACTCCTGGGCCTTGTGCTTTCAGTGTGTGCTCCCTTAACTCACAAGGTGGTTAGTACCTCTGATGCCCACCATCAGCTGAGCAGACTGTACTATGTACAGACTTTGTAGAGCCTGGCATGATTAACTGTATAGCCTAGGCCTGTTTATCCTCACAATAGACTGCTATCCCTGAGCAGCTAGAGTGGTTCTAGTCCTAGTGAAAGCTAGAGGGTCTTTTGTTGTCATTGGTTTGGGTGTTTGTTTGTTTGTTTGTTTGTTTGTTTTTCTGAAATAAAGTTTCTCTGTTTAGCCCCGGCTGTCCTAGAACTTGCTCTGTGTAGACCAGGCTTGTCTCAGACCCAGAAATCTGCTTGCCTCTGCCTCCAGAGTGCTGGGATTAAAGGTGTATGCCACTACTGCCCACCTGATGGTTTTCTTTTCAAGTAGCTTTTGCTTGTCTCTTCCTTGAAGGACTTATCAGACCTAAGACTGTTTTATGACTGAAAACTTGGTCTTTTCCTGAAGTGCCTTCTTGTTAGCTGGGAGTTTGGGAAATGGTATCTGAATTAATGAGTTTTTGAAACATAGCCAAGAAACCAGGCATAGTGACATTCACTATATCACTTGGAGTAGGTACTACTCCACAAGTAGTCCTAGCACTTGGGAGGCAGAGGCAGAATTGTCAGCTGAAAGCTATCTCAGGCTACATGTTGAAGCCAAATCTCAATAAGAAAATAAATAACTACATAAATGGAGACATAGCTCAGTGGTAGAGCAGTTGTCTAGCATGTGCAAAGAAAGCCCTGAGTTCCAGCCCTAGTACTACCTCCTATTCCAAACAATAACAAAAACTCACCTTGCATGCAAGCGATGTCTAGCACTCAGTCCTCAGCACTGAATAGGAGTGGGACCAGCCATTGCAGACATCTACAATAATGGCATTCCTGATTCCACACGCCACCACATGCCTATAGCTACTCTCTTCTTTGTCTAGTTCCCCATGTGCCTTTCTTTCTGAGTTTACCTGCCCAAGGTGGCTTGTTAACTAACTCAGTATGTCAGACCCTCCTCCTCTTTCTTTGCATTAGGAACCCTTCTCCACAAACTCCCACTGTGTTTGAGTTCTGGTATCTCACACAGACTCTCAGCTGTTCTGTATGTTGCCTTGTAACAGTCGGTCCACCAGCTACAGCTGACTAAAACATAAAAGCCTTGTAGAGCCAAGCGTGCTAGCGTATACTTGTAATTCCAGCACTTAGGAGGCAGAAGCAAGAGGATCTCAACTTCAAGGCCATCCGACTACACAGGAAAGCCCTGTCTCAAGAGGGATGAGCTTCCCTGGCTCTCACAGCACAGAGAAAGAGGCTGAACAACCTAGCCTCGGCTCACAGGCAGTTTCAGCCTCTACCCTTCCCATGTTTTGTTTCTGGATTGTTTGTTTTAGACTTACTTATCCTATTGTTTGTGTATTTTTGTCTGCATAAATGGATGTGTACTACATAGGAGCTTGGGGCCTGAGGAGGTCAGAAGAAGGTACCACATCCTTGGAATTGGAGTTACACATGGATATGAACCAATTGCTGCTTAAACACAGGCGTTTCTCTGACTTCTTTCTGTTTTGTTTTGAAACAGGATTTCATTATGTAGTCTAGGCTAGCCTGAACTTCATATACAGCCTAGCATCTCCCTAAACTCACAGTCTTTCTGTCTCATCCTCTCAAATGATGAGATTACAGGCATGTGCCACAACACCCAGCATCTCCCATGTTTGTATGTTGTAAATGTAATTGCTATGATATCCTGATTGTCCTCATACCCTCCTTCAAATTAAGCTTGCTTGCTATTCTTAGCCCAAATATTAACTGGCCTGATTTGGGGGGTGGGTTTGTTTGCTTGTTGGTTGGTGCTGAAGATCAAATCAAGGGCCTCACATACAGTAAATAAGCAGGCAAACATGCTACCACTAAGCTGTACCTCTGGTCCCATTGGAAGGTCTTTGCTAGTTTGTAACCTTCTCATAGGTAGAAGAGTCTCATGTTCATCCTTGGTCCTGCTACATAACTACTCTTACAGAATGAAGAATGATCAAAGGACTCTCCTCCCCAGTGGTCTAGAACTGTAGAAGAAGCTCGTGGCAGG